GAAAATATATACGGGAGCTATATCTAAATCTGAACCGATTTTCACGAAACTTAACACACATCATTCTATACTTCATTCATTACGCTATGCCAAATTTCGTGCAAATCGAAAGATATATAGGGACTTTGGTGCACCATTTACCTTAAATGGGACAAAAATATATATGGGAGCTTTATATAAATCTGAACCGATTTTCAAGAAACTTAGCACACATCATTGTAGACTTCTTTCAGTACGCTATTCGATTCCATAAAAAAAATATTTAGAAAACAAAAACGCCTGTGAATTCCTTTAAAAACTAATTTAAACATGTGAAAAAACGATAAGTTCGGCCATGCCGAACTTTGTGTACCCTCCACCATATATATACTGAGAGGTACTTGAAATAAAAATATAAGGAACATACCAAAAAGTGGACCTATACCGACATTTATAAAAACGGATTATGTAAACCATAATACAAATTTCAGCAAATTTTTAATGAATATTTATACCCTCAGCCTTATGGCTAATGAGGGTGTATACACTTTGACGTAGTGAAAATGTGCCTCATCGAAATATTGGTTCTAGTCCCATGTTTCTTTGGACCAAATCCGTTTCAGAAAATTTTGATTTTATCCAAACTTTGCCCATCTTATTATTTCTTCCAAACTTAGTTCAAGTTCGAAGATGGGGAATATCGGTTCAATTATTTTGGTACGTCCAACACAGGGGCTAGGCCTAAATTCGGGCTATAGTTCATATATAGTTCATTATCGAACCTTACGTTCTAGTTTTTTATCTCGATATCCTCCGCAGGTAAAATGATTACAACAGAGTCTTAGAACCAAACCCAAAACGCAGAACAAATCAGATAACTATTTTAATATAAAAGGGTTTTATATGGGGACTAGGGATATTTGTTACCATATACGAATGTAAAATACCAAATTTCAGGGAATTCGGTTGAAAAACGCGCTCAAGAACCTCAAAATTGGGGATGCCCTTATATGGGGGCTACCCGAAAAAATTGACCTATATTCATAATTTTTTGTGGAGAGATTTGCAACGTATTAAGAACTGAAAATATTAAATTACAGCCACTTCGGTGGAAAAATACGATGAAAACCCCCAAAATACTGAAAATAAGGAGGTACCGTTATTTGGGGGCTACAAAAAAACTTGGACCTATATTTATAATTTTTTGTGGAGACATTTATTACCCAATAAGAACCCAATGTAGCAAATGTCAGCGAATTCGGTTGAAAAACACGCTCAAGAACCCTAAAATACCGAAAATTGGGGGGTACCCTTATATGGGAGCTATGCCTAAACGTGGACCGATATATCCCATCTTCGAACCTATGCAAAATTTCAGTACCCTATCCCAATTACTTCAGAAGATAGCGTGATTACAATAGACGGACGAACGGACAGACGGACGGACATGGCTAAATCGTCTTAGAATTTTACCCTGATCAAGAATATATATACATTATAGGGTCGGAAATGAATATTTCGATGAGTAACAAACGGAATGACAAATTTATTATACCCTCCATACTATGGTGGAGGGTATAAAAAAACCCACGCCTTTGGATTCCATTAAAATATTATTTAAAAACCAGTGAGCGGAGCAGTACAGTCGTACGGGGCCGACCAAACGATACCCTACACAACTACCACAGAAATCTGTGTTTCTGCGCATTTTTATTCCGAGCCTGGGCAATATTTCGTGATAGAGGTCAACAGCACCTCTTCCTTACACAGACATATATTCCGAATATTACCAATATTCAGTACAGCCCTTCTAATTACTCGCCTATATTCCCTTCACCGTGGGTTGTGTTGTGATGTTCGGCTTATATTTGTAGCCTATAGATCGAATCGAAAAAAACACACAAAAATAATAAGTTTTAGGTCTACTTCATCCCAAAATTATTATCTGATCATCACCGATAATTATAGGTGTTGTCCTTGACCATAACTGGAACCTCATGGAACATTTCAAAGCGATCAGCACAATATTTCCGCCCTATAGTGGGGTAAAGGATTACTAAATAATATGTGAATATGTAAGCACCTGTAAATATTTAAGAAAATCGGACAAAAATAAAGTATTTGGTCCATTTCATCTACTAAATATTAACCGATCTTTTCCAAAAACAAGAGGGGTCTTCATGGTCCAGAACCCATCCTACATGCAAAATTTCGTGAAGATTGGTCCATAACTGTGGCATGTATCGTATTTACAAATTATAGTGGACGGACGGACACACATGTCTAGAGCGACTCAGCTAGCCGAGATATGACGATCGGTATACTTAAAGGTGGGTCTAGGACCAATATTTCTCGACGTTACAAACTCTTGGGGCTGTACAAAACTATAATACCCTGACAAAATAGTTGTGTAGGGTATAAAAATCCACGCCTGTGGAAAATGTGTGAAAATCCATGCCTGTGAATTTTTTTTTTTAATTCCACATTTTCTTTAAAAATCCACGTCTTTCGATTGTTTACAATTTGAAAATGATGATGGCAAATTTCTAGACCTATCTCTTTTTTGTGTCTAATTGAATTCAATTCGATTGCTTGATTGAAAATATGAATTAAATGCCTTGAACTGGTCTGGTCTGAATGCTAATGACTACGACGGCAACATTTCAATATTGGCTGGCAGATAGAGAGACTGACAGAAAAGCTGACTAACTGGCTGCAATAGCATCATCATCATCAGCACCCACCCACAATAGAAAATTCTACATGTTACAAAAAAACAATCGATCTCGCGAGACAACTAATTTGACACAAAGTGAACAACATCTGTCATAATCAACAATATGACTTGAATCTCTGGAGAATTACAAACAAAAAAAATTTTAACTGTTTTAGTTTGATTCTAGTAATTTTAACAAATATCCGGATAGTAATAACAACAACAATGTTAATAGTAGTAGTAGTTATAGTAATAGTAAAAAAATTATAGGGATTCACATGTGTTCTATTCATAGTTTTATTCTACATAAGTTCAACCAACCAACCAGCCATCCATTCGAGTCAATTCCATCCCATCCATGTCTTTATAATCAGTCTCTCTCATTGGATTATTCAACTTCCGTTCGTATTTCCGTTTGGCATTTGTTTTCTGTATGGCAACAACAAAACCAAACGAACCGAACCGAATGAAAGTCAATGCTTATTGTGCAAATACCAGCACCGCACAGCGAAAACCAAAAACAACAATGTGGAAAATAAAATTAAACAACAAAAATACCTAGCAACAACAACTACAACATCCAGTATCAAATTAAATAGCTTTGCTTGCTAAAAAATTGTAGAAATGCCTGTAATAATAATAACAAAAACAACAACAGCGGAGAGATATGGAAATACAGTATGACAGAAATAAAAACCCCAAGTATAATCACGTACTCTCGCTGGCCTCCTCCGCCTCGGAATGGAATTATGGAATTTCTATGACTATTGCAGCCACAAATACAAAAAAAAAAACTGAATAGTAGTAGGCACCCGGCATATAGATAAACTAAGAGAAACTTAACAGAGTTCTACAATATATCTTTTTGCAAATTGAAGAAATGCCAGCAATTCAAAAACCAAAAAGTTTGCAAAAACTGACGGTCAGTAGGTCTTCTCGAAGGAGATCAGGAAATCTCATAATTTTCTCCTTATAAAATACCAAAAAGTTTTCTCTCCCACGCTCCTTTTCGTGGTGTTCTCATAGAAGACAAGAAGGTCTTTTCATGGAAGACCAAAGGGTTTTCTAATAGAAATCCGAATGGCCTTCTCATAGAAGGCCAGAATGTCTGCTCAAAGCAGATTAAAAGATTTTTACCTTTAAAAACAGAAAGCCTTCACATAAAATACTAAAAAGGTCTGCACTTAGAGGACAGAAGGTCTACATCTGAAACATCAGAAAGTTTTCAATTAGAAGACCTGAATGTCTTTACTTAGAAGTCCAAAAGACCAAAGGTTATTCTTACTTATAAAAAACCATATGAAGATATGCACATAAAAGACCGGAAGGTCTTCTCATATAAGACAAGAAGGAAAGACTCATCATAGAAGACAAGAAAGTGTTCTTATAGAAGACCAGAAGGTCTGCACTTGGAAGATCGGACAGTCTTCACTTAGAAGAAGAGAATGTGGTTAAAGTCTTATCATAGTCTTATTATAGAAGAGCAGAAGGTCTTCACATATAGAACCAAAAGGTCTTCGCATAAAAGACCAGGCATTATTCACTTAGAAGACCAGAAAGCCTTCTCACAGAAACCCCTAAGGTCTTATCATAGTAGACCACAAATTTTCTCACAAATGATCAGGAGGTTTCTTCATATGAGTTCAGGAGCTTTGAGACCATTAGTTTCTCAAAGAGGACTTGAATGGCGGGCACGATAACTCAAAAACTAATAACCCAATCGATTCCAGATTTTGGGACGTTTCTTTGTGAGTGTATAGCTATAGTATGAACTATCGGCGAAGATCTTCCTTATTTTTAAAATTGTTTCATTGTCAAAAATCGGCGATTTTCCAAAAATATTGTTTTAAAGGTGCACCATTTTGTTAATTTTTGAGCGAAGAAGTTCATACGAGATCCAGCCGATTTCGATGTTCCATGCCCGCCATCAAAAATAAGGACTTTCCTTTAATCACAAAAAACAACAACAAAACAATAACAAAAAATTTTGTAAATTATTTACCTTCCTTTTCAAATCTTCAAATATATATGTGTAAAGTTACAAACCTAAACAAGCATTAGTATTGATTTACCAGCCAATTTAAAATCCCGAAAATTTAAAATCGAGAATGGGGGGTTCCCTTAATGTGGTTACATAGCATTCAAGTATTTCACCTTAATGTAACTTATTCACCATCAAGTCACCACATAGCGGCAAACATTTTTACTATTCAACACACAAATATACCATTATTTCATATATAGTCTATCAAAAAAATTGTTGCATACTTTCAGGCACAATAAATAAATAAGAAAAACAACTTACCGGTATTTTAGATGTGCGCAAAAATTCCAAAAGAGCTTCCAATGAACCCAATGTTGATGCTTGTACATATACACCAGTGGCAGCCAGCTTAATGTGACTCAAAGCACTCTTCAGTTCACGGGCCACTTCTTCCCTGTAAATAGGAAAAACAAATAATTACATTAATATGAAACCTCTAAGTACATTAACATTAAACTCACTTGCATATTTCCACCTCATCCGGTTTGTGGGCAATCAACAGATTTATACCAGCAATTGCCTTTTCCAAATCTTTGGCGGCAATTTTAACACCCTGTGCTGCCACCACTTCTTTGTGCTCGACATAGGCGTTCTTAACACGCAACTCCTTCATGGGCTGTGGCATTAGCAAGGAGCGAATTTGGGTAACAATGGGTCCATCGGTACCAGCCAATATCATTGTTTGACCCTCACGCAATTTACCATTTATCAAAATGGCATCGATGGTTGTGCCCAGACCGGGAATGGCCTTAACTTCCAATACCGTGGCCTGCAACTCATCCGAATACATCAGTCGTTTGGCCAGCATTTTCTGACAGAATTCCACAATGAGGAACAACAGATTACCCATACCCTCACCAGTAATGGCACTTGTGGGTACCAGCGAAATATAGGTTTTTGGATCTGGATTCTCATAGAACAGAGCGGCATTCAAACCCTGTTCGGCAAATTGCAATATAACTTCCTTGGTGCGCTGTTGGAATTCGACTTGGGTATTGGCCTCTTGTTCCTTCAGGACATCGCGAATATCACGACGTGCCATCAGCTTCCAATCGTACAAACGATCGATTTTATTTAAAGCTACAATGAACGGACACTTCTTCTTCTTAAGTAAATTAATGGATTCAATGGTTTGTGGTTCGAGACCGTGCATAATGTCTACGACCAGAATGGCAATATCACAGAGCGATGAGCCACGATTACGTAGATTACTAAACGATTCGTGACCGGGTGTATCGATAATCAAGAGGCCGGGAAGTTTAAAGTCAAAATCGGAGGAATTGCGAACAACTTTCGATTGTTCTTTGATGGCATCAATGGGAACATTTGTAGCACCAATTTGTTGGGTAATACCACCGGCTTCGGCATCCTGGACATTGGTACGACGAAGTTTATCCAATATTTTTGTTTTACCCGTATCTACGTGACCGAGGACACAAACGACGGCTGCACGTAAATTATCAACTGTGCGTTTCTTTTCAGCATCATCTTGACGTTTGAGAATACGACGTTCGGCGCGTAGACGACGTTCTTCGGGATCATTGACATTGATTGCTTCCTCTTTGCCATCATCTTCCGAATCAGATTCGGAATCTGAATCAGAGTCATCATCAGAACCATCCTCATCATCGTCGTCTTCATCGGAATCACCCTCTTCGGCTTCTTGGGCATTTTCATTTGAATTCTTGTCATCATTGTTGGTCGTGGTGGCCTGTGATGTGGTGTCATCGTTTTGTTCCTCTTCCGAATCGGAAGCATCCCATGAGTCTTTGACAACTTCTTTCTTTTCAACGGGTTCCTGTACAACGGGGGTCTGTGGAAAAGAAAGAGGAGATATTATTTATTGGCATTTCAGATTAAAAAATTAAAAAAAATCCCACCAATTTGAAAATTAAAAAAAAAAAATCTTTCAAATTGTGGATAGAAAAATTATTTGAAAATCCAAGCTTTGAAAATGAAAAGCAACACGAAAATTATTTTTAAAAAATCTACACTCGGAAAATAAGTTTTTTATACATCCTTCTTTAGAAAAAAAATATTTCAATCCTCAAAAGTTCAAAACAACTTACCGTTGTAGATTCCTCAGTCTTAGTATCGTTTTGTTGTTGATTGTTAGCATTTGGACCCTTCTTCTTGGGACGTATGCGTGTACCTAAAAAATAATAAAAAAAAATAATAAATGTAAATATGTATTTAAAACAAATCAATTTCATGCCATACCTGGTCTGGTTGGCCTCTTTTCATTGGGATCGGGAATCTCTAAACCTTGAGCCTTTAAGGCTTCCAACATGGCCTGGGCACGAGCACGATCTTCTTTTTGTTTCTTGGTCAGAAGTTTACCCTCGGCCTTGAGACGTGCCTTTCGCTCTTGTTCCTTTTGTTTTTTACGTTCCTTTCGCTCGGCCTCCAGGCGTATAGCTTCCAAACGGGCACGCTCACGTTCTTCTTCCTGACGTTGACGCTCCTCCTCCAGCTGACGTTGGCGCTCCTCTTCTTCTTTGATTTTCTTTAAACGTTCCTGCATAGCTGCAACCATGGCGGCGGATACACCTTTCTTTTTGCCATCTTTTTTGTTCGTTTCTTCTTCTTCGGCAGCTGCAGCCTTTTTGTCTTTCTTACCCTTTTTACCTTTTTTGCCAGCCTTGTCGGTTTCACCTTCAGCGGCAGCAGCCTCTGTTTCGGGTTCATTGCTTCCTTCTTTCTTCTCTGGCTCAGGAGCAGCTACTTCTTCTGCTTGTGGAGCTTCTACTTCCATGGGTGTTTCCTTGGGTTGAGAAGCAGCGGGTTTTTGCTTGGGTTCCTGGGCAGCCTTTTGTTTAGCTAAGGCAGCCTCTCTCTTTTGCCTTTCTTTCTTTTCCTTCTTCTTTTGAGCAGCAGTCTTTACGGTGCCACCTTCGGCCTCATCTTCTCCAGCACCTTCGGGTTCTGGTTCCGCTTCATCAGCCTCATTGCTGGCTTGTTTTTGTTGCTTCTTATTCTTACCCTTTTTACCCTTACCACCAAATTCTTCCTCAATCAAGTCTTCGGGTGATACCACATTTGCAGTAACATCTTTGGGACCAGCATTGCCGGCATATTCAGCTTGAATATCAGCCAACAATTTATCCAAATCTTCATCGTCATCATCGCCTCCTTTGCCTTTACGTTTGGCCTTTTTGGATTTTTTACCAGCATTTTTATTTGCTTTGGGAGCCTCCTCTTCTTCGGGCTCCTCGGGTTCACTGGGAGGTGCTGGTGGTGGTTCATTGTCGTCGTCATCATCATCGGCCATTAATAGCTCAAAGGCAGATTTTTTGGGAGCAGCAGACTTCTTTTTGTTTTTCTTGTTCTTTTTGCCAGCTTGTTCTTCTGCATCGTCGGCATCATCATCACTGTTAGCGGCAGTCGGTTTATTTTTTACCTGCAGTTTCTTGACACCCTTGGAAATGGTTTCAACCTCATCGCCATCGCTGTTACCACCCGCATCATCATCGGAATCTAGTTGTTTTTTCTTGGAGTTTTGCTTCTTTGGAGGTTTATTCTTTTTATTTTTGGCATTGACCTTTTCTACTTCCGCATCGGAGTCTGTAGCCATGGCTTGTACTTGGGTTTGTTCACTAGAAAATGGGAAACAAACACAATTAAAACATTTCGATAAAAAATGTTTACTGGGTTATTCAAATGAATACCACATTGCATTTTGTTCATGCAAAGCCACAACAACACCGCCAACAAACCCACCAACAACAAAAACAAATTTAATGTATACATGGCAGGCTGGTTGGTTGGTAGGTAGGTTTGTTGGCCAAAAGAAAAAAAAAATTGTTTGACAACGTAGCACTTTACTTTCCCCCACCATGTCATCATGACAGCATTTTTCCCTAAATCTCAGGTCCCCTTTTTCAAGCTCTACTTACACTTCATCACCCGATGAATTGCCACCAGCACTGCCGGCCGAAACTATCTCTTTCTTGCCCTTTTTATTTTTAACCATTTTTCTTCGAGTAACTTCAACACGTTTATTCGTGAATCCACAGAATTCAATAAATACACAATTCCCTGTAGATCACTCAACTCGAACGGACCACAAGTCACGAAAATTGATAGGATTTACGTTGAAAAATAAACACAAAATATCCTTCCTCTGCAGTGGACGGACTCTGGTTTTTTTCACAATTATTTTCCTCTGTTTTCCTCGGCTTTTTTGGTCACAGAAAATGACTTTTCTTTCGTTCAATCACTCAGACGTATGTTTTCGAGAGTTTTTTCTTTTGATTCTGCTTCTTTTTGCATTAACCCTCTTTTTTGCATGCCTTGCTTTGCTGCTTTTTGGTTATGTCAAAGTGTCAAAATTCCAATTTGACAATAGACCGCCGTATTGGTTTTGTTATTGTTGTTTGGGAACACATGTTCGTAGTTGTTGTCAAATGGTTGATAGATGGCGTGTTTGTTTGGGGGAGATATTACAACATAAAACAACAGGGGTATTCATGAGAGAGGGTGAAATTTAAAATGATTTTTTTTAATATCTGGATTTTTCTAATTGGAATGTACAGTAGGCGATAAAGTGAATATCAGTAGCCGAGTGAATTGATTTATGTAGGTGGTTCGAAAAAATATACATTGAAGACATTTCTAAAGTATATATTTTTTGAACATTTTGAGAGCTATAGGCGTGGAATTTTAGAGAATATTTTTGACAATTTTTTACAAACGTGGATTTCCTAACCTTGGATTTCCGAACCCATCCCGAACGTAAGTTCTATTTTCCCTCACGCTCTCTTAGATACGCCTCACCCGGTAGGTCAACTGCTACTCTTGCGACCATCCCTCCATCCTCGTTACAAGGAGCTAGACTGACAACAGTCCAGCTCGATATAGTGAGGCTGGGATCTTGCAGCGACAACATTTTCAGCAGGAGTTCCTTGCCCACTGAACGTGGGGGAACCCAGGCTGAGAGGACCCGTCTGATTGGGATTTCGGATAGGGAAACCGCATCAAGGTTGGCTCCTTCCCAGAGCGCACCAAAGCCGATAACGCTTTTCACAATGAAATCCTTAGATTTTTTGTTCAGGCAGTTGATAACTTTGGCACCCTTCTGCATGAATCCACTACCAAAATCCCCCTGGTCCGACCCACAGACGATGGCGGTTACCTCGGTCTGTCATATGGCTTACGCTGTCTTTGGCTACGAACTTTGGAGTTTGCCTTTCCAGAGGAGGTTGATGCCTTCTCTATACTAGGCTGTTTCTCCGCCGTTTGTTGTCCATAGACAGCCGCATATAGAAGGTAGAAGGGTCAGCCAGACGAGAAGTCATCGTCTTCTTCTGAAGACCGGATGCGCTTCACAGATTTGCTCTGTGGCGCGGCATTTGCTCTCCCAGGAGACGATTGTTCCTTGCCTGACTTTCCATTCTTAATATTTCGACCACTAGTGGATCCACCCAAAACTTTAGCTTCACATTTGTCGCTAGGAGTAGAATCGGGCTTTGAGACAGAGCCCTCCACACGTTGATCACCCTTATGGCTGACATTTTGTTTCGGGATGTTCTCTATGGCCTTTTCCTGTGCCTTTTCACTTGGGTTCGGCTTCTAGCTGGGCTTCAGGTCAGAAGTTGGCTTAGTACCTTTGTCAGAGACAGTGGCCTCGCCGATTCTACCACTTTTGTGCGAGCAGTAGGATTCGGGAGGGAGATCCTGTCCATCACGAGTTCACGATGGAGAGTGTGCTGATAGATTCTTTTGAACTTCCTTGCGTATCTCATCTTACCCTTGATGAGGTGTACCTCTCTCTCCGAAATTAAATACGTGTCTCGTCCCACGAATTTGCGGAGATACGAAACAGCACATTTGTAATGTTTCGCATCAGATACTTCTCGGGCTTTCCCAACCTTTGAGCCGCGGCCCGTTGCTGGGGCCTCGACAGGTTCCCGTTCGTCGAACATCGCCTCCGTCGCAGATTGCCTCTGAAGTTTATTGTCGGCAAGTGCCGACACAGGACCTGTTGCAGTCAGACTTTAAGTTGGTCGGCCAACAGGGTCTGCGCTTCCTTCGTTAATACTACAGCAATTCCCCTGTGTAGACTTGGCTGGGATCACCGTGGTGTTCAGGTCATCATCAGTAGCAGTTCTTCCGGAAGCGTATCCCCACATTGCTCTTCCGGTATCAGTCTGTCCAACTAGTCGAAGAGGTCCTTACTTTGCTCCTCTAGACTATCGCGGATAGCGTTTAGAGTGCCGTGTAGGTCGTCCCCTCCCAGAACTACAGTCCTGTCAGCCAGTCCTGACATGCTCATTTGCCAAAGGAATAGCCGGTTCGTCAAGGTTATTAACTTTATTCTTTTTGCTTCTTTTACCCATTGTGTTGATTTATTTAAGGGCACTACTCCGATCCATTTATAATATGTGGTGGAACATTGCATATATAAAATTCTCGCTAGCTCATATGCTCATTTCAGTGAATAATAATGCATTTGAACAAGTTTCAGATGCCGCATTATTTTGTTGTTATTCCCCGGAAAACATGAATAGTTTTGCTGATACTGCATTTCCTAATTGAAGATATTTTTGTGAAGCCGTACTGTAAATTTCTTGAGGAGTTGGGTGAGGAACCGTTCACCAACTCACGTTGTGTAAAAAACATCTCAAAAATATCACAAAAAAAAAATAAAAATTGGTGCCACAGCAGAGGATGTCTTCGGCAGATCCTAGCAGCATTTCCGACGATATACCAAGCTCATCAACCAATAACGAGGTAAGCACTTCTTATTGGAATTTATGCATTTGTTTATAATAATCATTTCACTCCCTCCACCCCCCTTTTCCATTGCAGTCACAAAAATCGGGCGATTTAAAAAACGATAAAACATTTTCCCGCTATCGTTCCCTCATTGTGGTGGAGTGTGGTCTGAAAATTGCCACCAATGAGGCAACGTTGAAACGTTTGCAAAATTTACGTAGGGAATTGAATTACATTAATGAAACCGATTGGATGTATGAGCCGGTCGATAAGAAAATACCATAAGACGCCAAGTCAAACAAAGACACCAAAACACATATACACACACACACACAAAACATTTAGAATAACTTTGCAGCATCATGATTACCCTTTTGAAGAATTTATTGCTATCGCGTGAAGAACGCAAAAATGAATTGGTCTCAAAGCTGGAAGAAGAGCAACGTTATTTGGACGAGGAGTTAGACGATGAAAATATAAATACTAAGGCCCAACCTACATCCTGTATGCAAAATGTCATACAAAATGTTAACATCAATGACAACGAACCCAAAGAGGAGAATGGCAATGCGTCGAATAGTGGATGCTTTAAGCGGACAGGTGGGTGATGATGTTTTGGATATACAATTTTTTATAAATTCTGAATTAAATTATTTGTTTTCTAGGAATTATTAGCAGCCTGAAAAGCAATCACGGCACAATCGATCATGGCATCTTTTTTGACATGAATGTGGCCTTGTCGGTGTCCTGTGAATTGAAAGTGGGATGTCGCGTTGAATATTTGGCCTACAAACATTCAGCCACCGATCACATTAAAGTCGTCAAAATTGAACAAATTATCGATCAATATTGGGATGATAAACAGCCAACCGAACAGAAGGTAAAATCTATCACATTTTCCATGAAAATGATTTTGTTGATGAATTGTATTTTCTTGCTTTTCAGATCGAAGAACAAATCGAAGAATTAAAATCAGAACAACCACGATATTTTAATACTCATCAGCGTAATATTTTAGGTTTAATTACGGAACGAAAACCTGACTCAATTCTTGTCGACACCGATTATAAAGTTATGAGCATTCATTTGGATTCAATTGAAATTGATTTTGTACCCAAGGAAGGTGATCGTGTCTATGTTTGTTGTAATGTTCAAAGTGATGAACATTTTATAGATAAAGCCGGCGAAATATTGCAGGAGGTTAGTGTACATCCGGCACGTTTAATGAAACAGGAAAAATGTACAGTGAAGCGGGTCCTAAACGATTGGGGAGTACTAAATGATGATGCCTATTATACAAATGATATTTTGCCAGCAGCGTGTAAATTAAATGTGGGTGATACGGTGTGTGCGGATCTCATAGAATGTGAAAGGGTAAGTTAAGGCACTTCAATTCATTTTTTTTAATTTAATAAAAAATATATATATTTTTCAGGGCGAATTCATATGGCGTTGCATAAAACTTGCCCTTATCGAACAGGCCTATGTACCGCAAATCTATGAATCAACACAACGTGTCATCGAACAAAAAACTGCCGAACATCGCGCCGTAACCGTATCGGCCGATATTAGTTGTGTCTTTACTTCGACATTTCAGAACAAAGAGATTGAATTTATATGCACAAATAATTGTGATCGTCCGTTTCGTGGTAGTGTAGAATTTCTTGGTCGTAAGCGTGAATGCCAGTTGCGATTGATAGAACCAGAACCGGGTGCAATATTTGAATTACCAGCAAATGATAAAATTACAATACGTTTTGAAGTTGTATCCAAAGTGTATGGAGAAAATCAAGAATATTTTGTTATAAAATTTGAAAAATTTCGTATAAAACGTTCGGTAACGATAATTGTATGTGAAACAGAAGCTGAAGCGGAGGCTGTACAAAATGCCATAGATTTACAAAAGGAGAATGAGCAGAATTCAAATATACCAGGGGCAGGAGGAAGGAATGCGGCGCATCGGTCACGCTACTATGCTAATCAGGTAAATACGAACTTTATGCCCAACTCTCTCTTATATAGACATGTAGCATAATTAATCAATGGATCTAAAGAAGAGGCCTTCCAGAATAGGGCTTCTAGAATTTAAAAAGAATTCTTCAATAGACTTATAAAAGAGGTCTTCTATGGAACAATAGAAAAATGCATCTGTGCACCTACATAATAGGAATGCTGTAGTGTAATAACATAGGTTTTCTATAGACCTGTGGAAGAGGTCTTTTATAGACATATTTAAAACCTTTCATATATATTTATTTGTAGACCTTTCTGTATGTCCATAAAATACCACATCTATATGTTTACAGAATACATTATATATTCTACAGATGATCTACAGACGTAAAGGAGATTTTTTCTAAAGAACACGTCATAGAAATTTCAATTTTTCTTAATTTTTAAATATGCTTTTAAATGTAGTTTTTTACTTTTTTTAAATTTGATTTAATTTGTCTCTCTTTCTGATTAGGTCTGGTCCAAACGCAGTGAAGTTATACCCGGTGTTGGCATCGCCACAAAACGTCGTTTTATTGCCCAACGTATTGGCTATTTTGAGGTACCCGAACGACTGTGCAAAGCCTATTTAACCTCAGATAAGAAACAAGATATGCTCGATAATATTGAACAAATGTTTCCCAGCATTAAACAGGAACTGTGTATGGCCAATTATGTGACACGTTTCCAGACCCTTATCTATTTGGAAGAAATTGAATATTTTGTAAATTTCCGTAATTATGATCGTGAACGTGCCCATTTTACCCGAGAAGGTGAATATTTATCTTTGCAAATTGAAAATTTAGCTGAACGCAGACCTTCATTGGTTATCGGAGATGTGGTGCGAGCCATTAACCCTTGGAGTGATCGTGATGGTGATAAACGTAATTATGATGGTGTCATACATAAGGTGCTCTTCAATAGGGTGCTGTTGAAATTCAATGCCGGCTTCCAGGAGAAATACAATGGCGAGGACTATCGTTTGGAATTCTTTTTCTCCCGATTCGGTTTCCGTAAACAACATTTTGCCATCCAAAAAGTGGTAAGGCATTTGGGTGAACAATTTCTATTTCCATCAAGAGTTCATCTGCGTGAACAACCCCAGTTGGATGTGCAATTGGATAAGGATTATAATTTGCAATTGAATGGCAATAAATATCGGTGGTATAATCCCATTTTGAATCCCATACAAAAGGTGGCCGTGTCTAAGATTTTACGAGGCGAGGCACAAAATATGCCGTATGTTATATTTGGTCCACCGGGGACAGGGAAAACCATGACATTAGTAGAGACGATATTGCAATTGGTTAAGCTATTACCCAGTTCACGTTTATTGGTCGGAACACCATCTAACAGTTCGGCAGATTTAATTACCACACGCCTGATAGAAAGTGGTGATCTGCAGGCGGGAGATTTTATTCGTCTTGTGTCACAAAATCAAATTGAAAGGGAACTAATACCCAGTCATTTACAACCCTATTGTGCCACCATAGATGTGGCCGCAGATGGCACCTGTAACGACTCCATGATTGTTACCGAATCGGGCCTGAAATTAAAATGTCAAATGAAATATTTGGGTAGACATCGTGTTACAATTGGTACTTGCTCCACTCTGGGGAATTTTCTACAAATGGATTTCCCTCCCGGCCACTTTACCCATGTCCTAATCGATGAGTCGGGCCAGTGTACCGAATCAGAAGTTATGGTTGCCATAACCCAAGTCTCAAAAACGCGTGGTCAAGTTATACTTGCTGGTGATCCACATCAATTGCAGGCAATTGTTATAAATCGTTATGCGGGTGAGCGGGGTTTCGCCACCTCGTTCCTAGAACGTATACTGACACGTTCGCCTTATCTGCGTGACATTATACGTTATCCCGATTCATGTGGATTTGATCCACGTTTAGTTACCAAATTGCTGTACAATTATCGTGCTCTGCCGTCTATTCTGAATGTTTACAATGAATTGTTCTATGATTCGGAATTAATGCCCATGATAAAGGATGATTCACGTGAAGCCCAAATGATACAAAATATAAGTGATCTATTGCCGGACTCTCAAACGCGTCCACCAACACATGGTGCATTCTTTTATGGTATGCTCAGTGAAAATATGCAGGAAAAGGATTCACCATCATGGTACAATCCGCATGAAGCTAAAAATGTAGGTTCATTGCTCTAATACTTCCATAGCAAGGTAAATTAATTTCATTATTGTTTTTCATTTGTAGGTTTTCCTAATGACTTTACAGTTGTATCGGAAAAATATAAAACCAGAAAATATTGGCATCATAACACCCTACATGAAACAAGTAAAACATTTAAGGAATATCTTTACCACCGCTGATATTGCCATGCCAAAAATTGGTTCCGTAGAAGAATTTCAGGGACAGGTAAGTGGGTCTATAATTATAACGTTTTTTTAAATCGCAGGAAGGATGGATTTTTTTTATATCTAAAAACATTTGTTTTACAGGAACGTGATATAATACTCATATCAACGGTGCGCTCAACCAAAAAACACTTACCAAACGATATACGCCACTCATTGGGTTTTGTGCAGTGTGCCAAACGTATGAATGTGGCCATATCACGGGCCCGTTATTTACTCTATATTTTCGGTAATCCTCATCTTTTGGTTTTGGATCCCTGCTGGCGTTCATACATTAAATACTGCGTTGAAAATGATGCATATTTGGGTTGTGATTTACCAGCGGGTCTATATGAAACATCGGACGAATTGACGGCTAATGGAGTGAATGAATGAGATTAAGTAGAAACTGCCAATGAAAAACAAAACAGTTAATTTTTATAGAATTAAAATAAATGTTAGAATTTAAAATTTTTAAATCCAAAGAAAAGCTATGCAATGGAAAAAATGGAATACAAATTACTCTATCTAGTTTTTGAATGAAATACATAATTTTAAAGATAACAATGCGATCAATTTTTTTTAGTCGAAGAACATGTAATAACATTAGCACTGAGACGTTTCCACGACAGTGGGTGTTTACGATCTCTAGCGGCCAGAGTCTCACTCGTTCTACGACTGTCATATCAGTGCAACAGTTCCCGCATCCTTTATGATATTTTGATGTGGTTTTGGGCCGAAATTTTCAGCTTTGTCGAATTTTTTACTTGTTTTTTTTTTATTATCCAAATGAGAATATAAAACTTCCTACTAACCGCTCGCTTCTAAAGGATTCACTTCGTCTATAAAGACTGATTGCTCAATTCGGTTTGTTTCTAAAAGATTTTCTGTTTAAGCTCGTCTTTGAAAAAAATTCTCCTCCGCTTGGGGTTGTCTACGAAAGCTCCCTGGTCTTTAGCTTTTCCTTAGCTTCTTAACAACCGAACCTGCTCTAATCTACAGAATAATTAGAAACCTAAAGTGGTTGGGAAAGTGCAACCTTAACACGTAATATATCTTTTGTCTGATCTCTATAGCCATCGACATTTTTCCAAACTTACCGTCTTATTATCTTTCTGTAAGGTTCTCACCTCTTTCCCCAACCTTCTCTCCCCTATAGATCTCTCCTTATCTCTTTTCTTCTCGTGGATGATCACAACGGACCTGACGGCCTTAGAATGTTGCAGCCACATAAGTAATTGCACATCCCCAAACCTAACCTCGCTTTTCCAATTTTCAGCTCGTTTATAGTCTCCCTTTTGGTCGTCTAGGAAAACTCCCCATTTCAGCTTGTCTTTAGTTAATCCTTTCTGGTAGTTTATAAAGACTCCCTTTAGTTTGTGTATAGATTATCGTCAACAATAACTCGTTGGTCTCCAGATTGTCTTTTAAAACTCCCAGCCTTCAGTTTATGTACCTTCTATTGGACTTCTATAAAAACACCCTTCAGTTTATCTATAAAAACGCCCTTCAGGTAGTCTATAAGGCTCATTTCTTGTCGTCTATAAAATGTACTTTACAAGACTCCTTTCTGGTCGATTATAAAAGCTTCCTTTTAGGTTCCCCCTTCTCATCGTTTATAAAGACCCCGTCGTTTATAACAACTTTCTTGAACCCCGCTTGAGCTCGTCTACTAAAATACCCTTTTAGTCGTCTATACCTGTTAGTACGTCTAAAAAGACTTCCATCTAATCGTCTATGTAGGCACCCTTCAATTCGTCTATAAAGATTCCCTTCAGCGCAGCTATAAAAATTTCCTTCTGGTCGTCTATAAAGACTGGATTGAACCCCATTTAAGATTGCTATAAAGACTCGATTCAAGACGTCTATTAAAACTCCCTTCTGGTCGTCTAAAGACTCCATAAATATTCATTTTTGATCGTTTATAAAAAACATGCTTCTGATTGTCTATAACGACGGACCCCCTCTAAAGTCTCATAGCTTCTTGGACGTTTCTAAAAGACTCTCTCCTCCAGTTCGCCAACATCGATTTTTTAAATATTCGAAAAAAGTAACGAACACACCATTACCTCCTCTAAAAAATTCCCCCATTCTCGTTAGTGCTACCAAGTATTCGATTACTTTCCTATTACCGGACAACCATGCTGCTGAGCCGACAAAAATTGGTTACTTCACGGGTCGTCATTTCAAATGGCATTCAGTCGTTTTGCAATCGTTCGTAAGTAAAAATAACAGACGGCGGGAAAGGTGGAATTACATTTTAGCCGGAGAGTTGGGAACAAAGGACACAAAAGAACAAATAAAAAAGGATATTTTTGCTACTGCTGTTCGTCGTAGAACCAAGCGAAAGTATTTTTTGCGAACTACGTGAAAAAACGTTTTAAAAAATAAGCTTCTGGAAAGTTGAAAAAAAAAAACATTTTTTGGTTAAGTTTTGACAGCCGTAGAATAAACAACGAAAAGTAGAAAAAATGGAGCAAATTATTGCAAATTTGTTGTGTGCCGATAATAATCTGATTAAACAGGTAAGTTGTTGTCTTCTTCTTCTTCTTCCTCGGTCAATAATTCCCATTTTTGCACAAAATGCCTGAAGGAAGAATTATTGAAAAATGTTCTGATCGAAAAACACGTGGGGACGACTGAAAATTTGATGGCGTTTTCTTTTTTTTTGCAAGTGCTTCTCCTATGGTGCTTCTTCTTCTTGTTTTTCGTTTCTACCTTTGCGTTTGCTCTTTTATTGCATTTTCGATTTTCGCGATTCGATTCGGCAGCAGCATTTGTGTTATTCGGTTTGTTCATGCCGCCGCTGCTGCTGCTGTTTCGGTTAAAATTTGCAATATGTGGTGTGGTGTGTGTGCGTGTGTTGCTTTGCTAAAATGTGTTTCGGCGGCGCGCGTTTTATAACAACAACAAAAAAAGAGATAAAGTGGGTTGCCGTCTCTCTGGAAAATGCCTTAAGTAAAGGAATTTCTTGTCTGATTTATGGGCATTTTAATGGAGGGGGATTTTTGTTGTAGCGATGATGATGACGTTAATGAATGGTGGTGGTGCCATGGAATGTTTACATCTTCGTCTAATGCCTTGGGCCGTAAATGGTAAATATGTTTGTACATATGTATGCCATTTAAATATTTTCCTAATTATCTTACTCCAGTTAGTATTAACTAGTTTCCTCTTCAGATGATGATTCTCATTAATTATTACAATTAACCCCAAACAAAAAAAAAAATGTATGGACCGAATGAATGAATATTTTCGAATGTCACAACTAGCCCTCTCATGGCGGGGTTGGGGTGTGGTCAGCCTTTAGCAACAATTGTTTCTATGATAATTAATTTTTATTGTAAGACAAAATATCATTAAATTAATTTCTTGGGAAGATGCCTGATGAACATACACACGCATCACAACAACTAGAAATCTTGGAAACATGTGCTTTTCTTCCAGTGACTAATGTTCGAAACATTTGCTCTGCCTGCTTGTTGCTTGGTGGCAGCTAACCGGCATGGTATGTGGAAGTATGTCTGTGTTCTGGCGCTTCATGCGTAATTGATATTCCATATAGTATTCCTAATAGCTGCTGCTGGCATTTGTTTAAATTTGGACATGAATTAAACCAAACAAAAATTATTATAGAGATTATTGTTGTTGTTTTGTGTTTCGCACATTTATGGATAAAATTTAAATGTCTGTATGTGTATACAACAACATCTCTCTCTAAAGAAATCAATTAAAATTTTTCAAATTACACATCTTGATGCGAAGAAGAAACTTCGTCGAGTCTGCCAAAAATAAATAAAGGAATTTACACAAATAGTTACCTCTGGAATAGGTCTTGCATAAAAATAGGAGGTCGTTTCTTTGATGATATATCAATTTCAATTCAATTTTATTTAACTAAAGATAAATGACAAAATGCATATGAAGTGCTTAACCTAATAAAGGATAAACTACCAAGGTTTCATATTCAACAAATATAACTTATATGGATCATTAAATGTGTTCTTTAAAAAATATAAAGGACATTTTACAAATATTCTCCTGTGGATACGCGAGTATAGAAGTGGTCTACTATAGATAAAATAAGAGGACTTTAATATATAGATTAACTTTAGATAGCCTCTTATAGACTGAAGAGGTATTCCAGGTAGAATAGATTCCTTATAGGTCAAGGTCTATAAATAGAATAGCTTATAGACTTTTGTGTGAAAAATTATAAAATTTGTATTCTATGTCGTATATATTTACTCCTGAAGGACATAGATCGAGAAGTGGACAGTATATCCAAGAGGAATGGTTGGTCTTTAAATTGATACCAATTATATTCTCGTATGTACTAGGATGTGGGAGTTAACTCGAATAGTGCTGTAATTATTTTTTTTTCGAATTTTGGGACGGAACTTTCAGCGTCTCTAAATTGTGGGTCACTGAATCCTAAAAATTGATTTGTATAATTTTTTTCTTATCAGGATAATCGACAGGATCATTTTTTGGGCTGTGACTATATGGTCATACTAGCACAGCTCGCGTCAAACTTAAATATTTATAGGTGTTTACGTATTCAGATATTATTTAGTAACCCATTAACATTAGAGGACAGAAATAAAGCGCTGACCGCTTTAAAATTTTCCAAGAGGTTCCAGTTATGGTCAGGGGCAACGCCTATAATTTTCGGTGATGATCACAAAACAAATTTTGGGATGAAGTGGACCGAAAACTTAATTTTTTAACATCATAACACAAACCACTGTGAAGGGAATCTCGATAAGTAACTAGAAGGGCTGTAATGAATATTGGGAATATTCGAAAAATATGTCAGTGTAAGGAAGAGGTGCGGTTGATCTTTAATCGGTCAAGAGAGTGCAAATATCACGAAATATTGCCCAGGCTCGAAATAAACATCCGCAGAAAGTAAGAGTTCCGCGGTAGTTGTGTTATGGTATCGTATGGTCGGCCCCGTTCGACTGTACTGTTCCGCTCGCTGGTTTTAATCTACGTTTGAAAAGCATTTAAATCAAGCATTTTAAGGAATGGATTACAAATTATTGTTATTATAATTTTTTATGGGTAAATGTACAAATTTAGGGACAAGTCAAGTTTAGGGCCGAAATTTTTTTTTAACATTAGGCCTAAGGATTCTCATCTTAAATGGAATACATTTCGTGTGTGCAGTGCTTCGGCCTTATTATACAATCTAGACCCAATGATCTTTAATTATAGGAGATCTCCAGAAGATAAAAAAAAATTAAAGATCAAAGGTCAAAAAAAAAAAAAAAAAAAAACTATGTTATCTAATGGAATACCTGTCTTAAAATCGGAATGGTATGCGAAAAATGTCGTTTTGTTAAAACAAAACTGTCACAAGACCAGACTTTCCTAACAAAGATTTGTTTATTTTTCAGTACCGTTTATTTTGTTCGAAAAGTAATAAACAATTTTTTTTTGTAAACCATAGAACGTGCTAATTATCGTGTGTGTATGTATATATTTTGTATAAATATTCTGTACGTATTTATATTGCAAATTTTCTTTACATTTCTCTGTTTATCTAAAGCCTCAAAAGAAAATGTGGTTTACATTTAGTCGTCACTAGTTTCTTATGTTAATAGTATTTTTAATAGTCATAAAATCTACACACTGTGGTAGTTTGTATAGGATACATATATTTGTATAGCTAACAACAACAACTATTTGCAATATAAAAAATAACCTCTTCGTTTTTGCTTCAAATGCAGTTGGGTGTAAAAATTAGTTCTGTTGTTACTAGGCGGCGATGGCTGAAAAAGTAAACCTCTCATCCACTCCTCCTATCAGATTTTATCTTCATTTTTATTAGAACACAACGTCATCTGAAATTACTTAAAAAATATAGTTATATAGATTTCATTTTGAAAATATGTACTATGTATAGATATGACCTTTCCATTTGAATGTTTGTACGAATGTCTGCTTGCAGCCAAGCGCACCATCAACTATTTTATTTTTTTAGTTCTTTCGTCTGTTTGATAAGATTTTTGATTTTGCCATTAAAAAGGCGAAAAAATATGTGCACATTTTGTTGTTTTTGTTCTCTTTTTCTATACTTACAGTAGGACCTCCAAGAACCTTGACATTCTCGCCCAAAGAAACTCAAAATTCCAATTTTCTCTGTGGGCCTTTATAACATTGTTTGGCTGTATATCATAGATAATTTAGTATAGCATATCTTGTTGAAATTTATAAAATAATACCATTAGTTTTTTTTGCAAAAAAAAAAAAAAATATATATTTGAAATGTTGCCACGCGGTAATTAAGACACAAATCCCAACAAAGCCCGCAACAACATGACCGACAGAATCTTGCTTTCTTTTTGCGTGTGGGCCAAATGTTTAGTTTCAATTTTTATTTTATTACTAATTTGTTATATTTCACAGAAAATTTATATTGAGAGTCAAACGCCGGCATTCACTCATCATCGTATATTCTATTTCCCAGTTTCGTTCTTGTGTCAGCAAGTAGGGTGTTACTTTTCTGCCTAAAGATAAAGTAAACACAGATTTCATTGCAATATTTTGTTGTTGTTATGTCGTCGTACTCTGGTGACTATAAATTTCTTATCCATGACACGGGAACATTTAATTAGTTACGCTTTACTTTGTTTGTTTGGAATTTTGGATTTTTTATTGCAAATTGATAAATGTTATAAAACTACCGGTATTGTTTGGATATAAATAATAATGGGGGATGGCGGCCGACCCATTAAATAAACACATGTTATTAAAAAGGCCAATATTTTTATCGGTATTGAATATAGAACTATTCTATTCATTGAGAACTATAACTTGATAGATCATATATGGCTAGAATACCTAAAGGTATGTTTTTGGTAGACCAACACTAGAAGGCCAGAATACATAGACTTTTTTGTTATAAAATGTCCTCTAAATAAATATCTAAGAGCTTTTTTTTATGGGAAGACAACATAGAGATATCATTTCTATAAAAATTAAGTCGTATATGCCCTGTATGGCTAGAGGACATGGAGCCCTTCTATGGCAAAAAGCCTTAGAAGTAACTGGATTACTTCGAGATCAGATAATACCAGATGATCTAGATTTTTTTCTATGTACAGAAGATCTAGATTTTTATATCTCTTCTTTAGCAAGAAGAAATGTCTTCGGGGACTAGAAGACCCGCATGTCTTCATTTTAAAAAAATATTATTTTTTGAAGGGCGCCTTGTAGATCTTTAAAAGTATTTTTTTAAGGCTTGGATTGAATTAAATGTCTTCGAGGACTAGAAGACCTTCTATTAAAAAAAATCCGAGAAGTAGGTTAGAAAAATATTCTTTCAAGGCTTAGATTCTATAAAACAATTTTTTTTCAGGAAATAATGTTTTTTCTAATATTTTTAAGGCGTAGATTAAAAAATCGTTTTTAAGAGGTTTTAACAAATTTTTTTCTATAGCCTTTTAATATTTTTTCAAGGAGTAGAATTTTTAAAAGACTTATTTTTAAGATGTAGGTTTCATAAATATCCATTTATGATTTTTAAGGTGTATTTTTTGGTGTAGATTTTTTAAAAAATATTTTTTCGAGGCATAGAATATTAAAAATAAAGCCACGAATTTGATAAAAACCAGTAAGGAAAGTAGTAAAGTCGGACGGGGCCGACTATATGATACCCTTCACCACTTTGGGTATATTCAACAGATTAATTCTAACAGACGGTCACATTTTAAAGGACCAATAAAATGAAATTGGATCCATGAACATTTTATTCTGCAACCGGTACTAAATTTTTCATTTGGTCAGATGTAGAAGCTATATTTAAATCTGAACCGATTTCAGGAAATCCGCTGTGCCAAATTTCGTGCAGTTCGAAAGATATTAAAGGACTTTGGTGCACCATTTACATTAAATCGGACAAAAATATATATGGGAACTCTATCTAAATCTGAACCGATTTTCAGGAAACTTAACACATATCATTCACGCTGTGCCAAAATTCGTGCAAATCGAAATATATATACGGACTTATATGCACAATTTACATTAAATCGGACAAAAATATATATGGGAGCTATATCTAAATCTGAACCGATTTTTCCCAATTTCAATAGTGTTCGTCTTTGGGCCAAATAAGTGACCTATGCCAAATTTCATCCAAATCGGATCATAAATGCGACCTGTACTTTGTTCACAAAACTACATGGACGGACATGCGTAAATCGACTCAGAAATTGATTCTATGCATATTCTCAAAAGGAACCATGTTTCTATCTCGTTTCCTTTTGCCTGTTACAAACATATGCACAAAGACCTAATACTCTGTACCACAGTCTTCTCCGAGTGTGGCGAGGGGTATAAAAATAATGGTTTTATGTTGATTTCAGAAAGTTTGTAAGAGCTATTTCCATAGAATATTTTTTTAGACGATCGAGGTTATTTGGTCTATAAAATACATTTAAACGTTTTTTGGTCTTTAAAAATTCTCTACAAGGTCCTATGTCCATAGAAATCATCTAGTCTATTTACATAAGACCTCTAATGAAAATTTCTGCTATATTAAAAACACAAGAAAAACACTTACGAACGTATGTCGGTATTTTCTTGTAGGTCTTGCCTAATGCCCACGTGATTTTACGATAATTACTATACCTCTTTATAAAAAATGCTTTAATGTTTTCTTTTTCCATTTTCTTTATTTTAGGCCACCGCTGACCTTCAAGAGGCCTACAAACGTCCTGAAACAATTCCCCAACTATGCGACATTGTAGTTTCCAACAAGGAAGCTCAAGTGCGCCAATACTCGGCCGTTCTGTTGAAGAAACGTTTGGGTAAATTGCGTCACTGGCAAATGGTTCCACCCGATCAGCAACAAATGTAAGTTTCCACAGGTGGACACTATCAAACTCTTTCAAAAATTACCAATTTCTTTAAATTCTTTCTTTCATTTCTTCAGCATTAAACAAGGCATGCTGAATGCTTTGGTCAACGAACAAGAGAAATCGGTGCGCAACGCCATTGCCCAGTTCGTCGGTGTTTTGGTACGCCACGAAAGCAGCGATAAGCAGGGCGGTGCCTACATGAACGAAGTCTTGAAATTCGTCTATGGCCATTGCAGTTCCGCCGATCCCAAGCAAAGTGAATTGGGCTCATCGATCTTTGCCACTTTGACCGATGTGGCACCCGATCAATTTGTACCCCATATGGAATCGGTTTGTGAAATGTTCACCGCTGCCCTTATGGCCACTGAGGCTAGTGGTAATATGTCATCACCGGTTATTTTCAATATTTTGACTGGTATGACTTATTTGGTACCCTTCATTTTGGGCCACAATGCTGCCGAACAGACTTATCAAAAGTCGATTCCATTGATTATTAAATCGTTGCAAGCTTTTGCTGTCCAGCCAGATCCCGATCAGTTTGTACGTGCTTTTGATATTTTGGAGAGCATGGCTGATTATACACCTAAGTTGTTGACCACCAATATTAAACCCTTGTTGGATTTCTGTTTGGAAGCATCCAACAACAATCAATTGGATAGTGCTGTGCGCGTTAAGACTGTGGCCTATATCGGTTGGTTGGTTCGCCTGAAGAAGAAGGTTATCATCAAGCAGAAATTGATTGAACCCATTATTCAGGTTGTGTTCAATTTAATGGCCACCGAACCAGAGGGTGATGATGGTAAGTAAAGGTCGAAATTATAACATTTTAAAGTTATACATTATAACAAATTTAGAAGTAAACCAAATTCTAAAATTTCGTTGTTTGTTTCTATTCCAGATGACGAAGAATATTTCTTGGGGGAGGATAGCTCAAATCCCATGACCACTGCCACCCAAACCATGGATCTGTTGGCCTTGAATGTACCACCAGAGAAATTGATTCCTCCACTATTGCAATTGTTGGAGCCTGCCTTGCAGGGCCAGGATCCTTTGCCACGTCGTGCTGCCTACTTGAGCATGGCTGTCATTGCCGAAGGCTGCTCTGAGGCCATTTGCAATAAGTACTTGGAAACAATGTTGAACATTGTTAAAGTTGGTATCACCGATCCCACACCTTTGGTACGCAACGCCGCCTTCTTTGCTTTGGGACAATTCTCGGAACATTTGCAACCCGATATTACCAAGTTTGCCCCACAAATTTTACCCATTCTCTTCGAATTCTTACAACAACTGTGCAACGAATTGAGAGTAAGTTGGTCTTGTACAAAAATGGTCTTCTCCGAATAGTTTTAAGTGCACAGATAAATTTCAAAGTTAGAGGCGCACAACAAATAACAAACCCTGTTTTCAAAATTGGTCCCACTTTTTCCTTATGCTGATTTTTTTCTAGTCTCGCAAAAGAATTGGTTTTAATGCAAAATTTTTGTGCTTTGGCTCTTTTTTTCTTCTTCCTCCCGTTTTTTGAACTTCTTTTTCTTCTCATTTTTTTTTTCACACAACAATACCGTTTGTTTTGTTGTTGTTGTTTTTATTTGTTTTATTTTCTGTATTTTGTGTTTTGTGAATGCTGCATTTTGGTCGGTCGATCGGTCTTCCTTCTATCTCTCTGCCTCTGTGTATAGGCTTTTTGGCCTCAAGCAAATCAATGTAATCAAGCTGATGATGATGGCAACTGGCCCAACACAGCAGCAGCAGCCACAACACCAAAACAAGACTTAAATTCCATACTCTATATGAGCCAATTGCAAATCAAGCGTAAAACGCTTCTAACTAATTATGTAACTACTACTAATAAAATAATTATTATTTAAGAAAAATTCGTTACTAGTTTGAAGAGTAAATTTTCTAATATCCAAATTTGTATTTATGTTTAAACAGAGCGGTGGTACTGAACCCAAACACATCGATCGTATGTTCTATGCCCTGGAGACATTCTGTGAAAATTTGGAGAATGCCTTGGTGCCACATTTGCCTTTGTTAATGGAAAGGTATGTTGATCTGGATTATAGAAATTAATTACTTTTATTGTCGAAAAAATAATTATGTAAAAATATTCATTTATTAACTTATAATATTTTTTCAAGAACTTGTATTTGTTTTAAAAAAATGTTTTTTAAGGTTCAATATTAATGTTCGTGTTATTATTTCTCTTTTTCTCTTTACTTTAGACTTTTCGAAGCCATGAATCCCAACAACTCGGTACGTCTACGTGAATTGTCACTCAGTGCCATTTCTGCTGCCGCCAATGCTGCCAAGGAAAATATGTTGCCTTATTTCCAACAATTAATTGCCATGCTGCAAACCTATTTGGTCAAGACCGAAAACGAAGATATTTTGGCTTTGCGTTCCCAGGCCATTGACACGCTGGCCTCTTTGGCTCGCACCATTGGCAAACAAAACTTTATGCCTTTGGCCACCGACACCATGAACTTTGCCCTCTCCCTGTTGGAGGAGGCCGATGATCCCGATGTACGTCGTGCTTTGTACAATTTAATTGCCGCTCTCGCTGAGGTCGTTAACGAAGAAATGGCTCCCGTCTATCCTAAAATTATGACTCGTCTCTACGATTCAATTTTGTCCACCGAAGAAGTTATCCCTGAATTCAAGGAGGATGTCATCACTGTACCCGGCCCAGAAAACGACGAAAATGATGATCGTGAAATTGATATTGAAAATTCCGATGGTGAGGATGATGATTTGGACAACATTGCTGGTTACAGTGTTGAAAATTCCTATCTGGATGAAAAGGAAGAAGCCATTTTGGCATTGAAAGAATTTGCCCAACATACTGGTGCTGCATTCATTCCCCACTTGGAGGAGTCCTATAAGAACGTGTACAAAATGATCGATCATCCTCAGGAGGATATTCGTAAGGTATCAATTGATGCCTTGGCCACATTCATTATTGCTCTGTTCAAGCAAAATGATGTACAGGGTGTGGCCAATGCCATTACCATTCTCATACCCAAAATGGGACAAATTGTTCGTGATGACGAGGAGGTGTCGGTTGTTTTGGCCGCTTTGGAAAGTTTTTCGGATTTGTTGAAGGAGTTGAAACAATTGGCTTTGGCCGATGACAAGATGTGTGATACGATTTTCACTTGCATCAATGATGTGTTGCTGGGCAAGGTGGCCTGCCAGTTTGACGAACCCAATGCCGGTAATGATGATGAGGAAACGGAGGAGAGCGAATATGAGGAGGCTATTGTTGAGGCAGCTGGTAATTTGTTGCCTTTGTTCGGCCATGCTATGGCCCCAGAGAAATTTGCATTGTACTTCGGTCGTATCTATCCCATCTTCTTGACAAAATTGGTAAGTTGGATTTGATTTTTGTTCGAAGAATTTTTAAAGTGTACTTTTTTTAAATAATTTCTCAAGCGTGGATTAATTTTTTTTGCAAGTGTCAAATATTTAAAATGTTTTTAAGGATATTGTGAACATTGTTTTAAATATTTTTTCAAGCATTGATTTTTAAAAATATTTTTTCAGTTGTGTTCATATTTTTTTTAATTTTTCGATATTAAAAAAAAAAAAAAGATTTTTTAAATAATTTTTTTAACCGGGAAATTTTGTCAGTATGGATTTTGTAAAAAAAAATATATTTTTAAACGTAGATTTTTTAATTTTTTTCAATATTTATTGAAGAAAGAATTTTTAAGGATATTTCCTTTACCTTTGAGTTTAAAAATGAACTTTTTTCGAATTATTTTTAAGTATCGATCGATCTTTTTAAGTATTTTTTTTAATCTAAAATTATTTTTTAACAATTTTTTTCAAATGGGAATTTTGTTAATTTTTTTCAAATGAGAATTTTCTTCAAGCGTGTAATATAATTCGAGTTTTTCTAATCTAATGATTTCCTTTTTTGTTTTCTCTTTTCTTTCGCAGCAAAAGGCCAAGAAGAACGAGGACCTTGAATCCCAACGAGCCTTCGTCTATGGCGCCTTGGCTGAATGTTTTGATGCCTTGAAGAAGAACAGTGCCACCTATTTTGATACATTGTGCCCCATTATGATTGAAGGTCTTTCCGATGAATTCAATCAGGCAAGACAAAATTCCGTATTCGGTTTGGGCGAATTGGTTCTACACTCTGAGGAGAAATCATTTGAGTAAGTTCAGTTGATCTTCACTTTAAATACCTGCGTTTCCATACTAATTTGTTTCTGCTTCGGTTTTTTTTACAGAGCTTATCCTCACATCTTAATGGCCCTGTCCCAAGCCGTCTCCAAGGAAACTGAGCCAGCCGCCTTGGACAACATCTGTGGTGCTATTGCCCGTTTAATTTTGACCAACTGCCAATTGGTACCCTTGGATCAAGTATTACCCGTTTTCTTGCAACATTTGCCATTGCGTGAAGATTTCGATGAAAATGCCACCGTCTTCAAGTGCTTCAAGCTGTTGTACATCCAAGCCAGGGATCAAATTGTCCCTTCATTGGAACAGATATTGGCCATTGCCATTCACGTCTTGTACAAAAAGGAATTTGTTGATCAAGATACCTGTGACAATGCTGTGGCTCTGCTTAAGGAAATCCGTGAAAGTTATCCCGATAAATTTAATGCTGTGGCTAATTCTAATCCCGAAATTGTCAATTTTTTGCAGACTCTGTAAAGTGGTAGGGAGAAGGGATTAATTTTATTTCAAATTGAATATATCACATCAATTCAATGAACGCGAACGTATCATCACCATTTAATATATAAAGCGCGCCGAAAAAAAAAACAAAGATATCAATTCAGAGAAGAATTCAGACTTGTTGTTATAGTATTAACTTTTTTGATAAATATTTTATTTACCCACTATCCAATCAATCAAATGAATCTTTGTAGTCATCGCTGTCTTCTTCATTTCTCCTTGTCTCTTTTTTATAAGTATTTTGTTTCTAGCGCTGAGAAGCAATGAAAACTACAAGTGAGGAGTTTGTAAAAATGCTGCTGCTGCAGCTGCTCCTGTGCGCCCGCTTCTTCATATATTATATAGTCAGTTTTGGTTTGATTGGTCGGGTTTTTATTTTCAGAAACCACCAACAACCCTCACCTTGTTCCCCCACAAAGAAAATTCTTTATAGATCACAAAAAGACTGGACACATTTTGAGTTTGAATCGCATAAATAATATTTTTCATTACCTAAACATTGTTGTTATAAACAATTTCAATGCGATGTTAGGATATATAAACAAATTTTGACCACACCACACATATTAAAAAATAATGTATTTATTTATAAATGTTTTTATTTTTTTGCAAATCATCAACACTTTTTTGCATATCTGGCATATGCTCCAGGAGACTCACCCAGTACTTCGTCTCCAAATTTTACTCGCATGATGATATTGCTTTTGATATTGTTATATCAAAACCTCATCTCCCCCGCCCCTCACATTTTATGACCTTGAGTTTGTTGTACTCACAAATGTACGGCACCTGGCTGTGATAACTTTTAATATCTTGTGTGTCAAATTGTTTTCAAAATCTCTGCAAAGGAGATTTGTTTTTTTATTATTAAAATTCCTCTCGAAATAATATTTTTCCAACATTATTAATTTAAAATACTCCCCATCCCACTTCCTTTTTATTTTTATTAATTTGTTTTAAACCTTAACTTACTTTACCTTTGCTACACTGTCAATATTGAAATTGGTTTTAAGTGATTTTTTATTAAAACTTTGCAGTGCCTAGCACAAAACTCAACGCCCCTCTCCCTCCCGAAACAAACACAGTGTATTGAAAATGGACAATTCCAAAAACAATGAAAACTAAAAAAAAATGCAATCCATTGACAAGAACCAGTTTTTTTATTTAAATTAATAATAAACACATTTGTTTATTTTATTACTTATAATTATATACTATGTTATATATTACAAAAAAAACATATTTTTTGAAATTGTATTGCTCTTCACTTTTTTTAGATAAAAAACATTTTTTTATATTATATTTGTACAAAACAAAAACAAGTTATATCACAAAAAGCATGACGATATCAGCCGAGTCAATTGAAATCTAATCATGCTTTAGCTCATAACTTATATTTAATTGAAAAACAAAATGCAAAACATTCTTTGTTGAAAAAAAAACTTTAATATTATTTCCATATTCTTTTTTTACTAGTATAGAAATTGTAAAACAAAAACAAAAAATAAAATTTTGAATTTTAAACAATTGTATATTATTGGCTTTTCTTTAAAAATACACACCAGGTAAGGTTTATGCTTTATTAAAGAAAGGTAAAAATGAAATATATTTTTCAAAAATCTAAGATCGGGGTTTCATTAAAAATTCAAAACATAGAATTTAAAACAAAATTAATTTTTAAACATTTTAAGCGATTTTTTTCCCTAAACCTAGAAATTTTTTCTCTCCAAGCATTTAAATTTGTAAAAAATAATTACTTTTTTTTCAAAAATGTAGAATTCAAGCATGAAATTTTTTATTGCAAATATTTTTACAAAACTTATTTTCTTAAGAATTCTAAACATTTTGAAATTCCTTTTTATGCTTTTAAAGAATTGAAATCAAAACTTTAAAAATTATTTGAAAGACTGCATCCATAATACGATCTGCTTCATCGATGATCAGGAATTTAACATTTTTCTAACAAAAGCCTTTAGTGCCAAGCAAATGTTCCACCAGACGACCCGGTGTTGTTACCACAATATCCACCTTGGAATACCACCGCCTCTTATCGTTCTCCACAAGTTTTTCTTTTTCCACCGCCAAGGATGTGTGATTCGATGGCAGACAAACACTAAAATCCATGGCACCACGGCTGTCGAGTGATTTTCATTTCCTTGAGGGCACCACGTGGCGATAGATATGTACACTACACTTATTCTAATAGCCAATTTTTTTAATTATTTTGTTTTCGAAATATATTTTCTCACCCAGTATTTCTTTAAATATTTTTCTCAAATCTACGTTTTTTTCAAACATTTTTTGTATAAATTCAATTTTTATTATAAAAAAAAAACATTTTGAAAGCCAAATTTAAAAATCAATTTAGGTATTTCAAATATTTTTTTCCTTTGAAATATTTTTACAAGCCTGCATTTCAAAAATAGTTATGGTAATTAAATGTTAATAGATTTATTGGATATTAGCATTAATAATTTCTCCAACACACAGAAGGTTAATCCAATAAAACAACTAAAATTTAGTAGATAAAAAATACGATTTTTTATTCTCAAAATACTTTTTTTACAAAGTAACTAATTACATTTCTAATTTTCATAGTAAACATGTCCATTAACGAAAACATAAAACTTGAAATCACAACAGAATCTATTTATTCTTTCTTTTGTTGCGTCTTTTGTTTAAATTTATTTGTTTTTGTCAATTTGGATTTCGTGTTATTCTGTTTCACATCCTTGCCGTTGTCCGCATTTTGTGCCTTTTTTTCATTTTCCTTGGCCTTCTTTTTCAGTTTTCTATTTAGATTTTTAATAGTCTTCCTCGTAATACCATCATCCTTTTCGATTTTGGTAGTGTCGTGTATTTTCAATGTGGCCTCCATTTGCAGTTTTTCCATTGGTGTTAGCTTGGTGACATCTTGCGATTTCAATTCGTACATTTCTCGGGCACGATTTATTTCCAAAATCTTCTTACGTTTGTCACGTATCAATTTTTCACGCAAACTCTCCAAGATGGTGTGATATTTCTTGGCATTGGCTTCTTCAATGGCGGTGGAAGTTTCGATTTCGGCTGTCACCACTTTACCCACTTCGCTGAGGAGTTTCTGTTGTGAAGGGCACGATTTTTTAATTATTTACGAATTTACGAAAATTAATTGAATGGATAAATAACTCACATTGAATTTGTTATGCTCAGGCTGGGATACCAGTGTGATGGCCGTACCTTGTTTACCGGCACGTGCCGTACGACCAATACGATGTATATAGGTTTTAATGTGACGTGGTGGATCATAAGATATAACTACATCTACATCGGGAATATCTATACCTCTGGCCACGGCATCGGAACATATCAAACTAAGTAATTAAATAAAATAAGGGTAATATTCAAACAATTTCTTATGGTAGTTGCCAAATATAAAATAAAAAACATACCCATTTAATCGACCTCTTAAAAATTTTGATAAGATCGCTGTACGGTTCTTGTGTTGACTATTCAGTTCACCCAATTGTATATCCTCATCACCAGCAAATAATTTAAACATTACAAAAGCCAATCTACAATAAACAATCAAATTGATTTATATTTAATAGCACTTCTTAAGGAAAGTTCATGATTAGACGGGGGAGGGTATAGAGAAATATAAGCCATTCATTTTAACATTTTCAAAAATTCCATAAAATATATTTCAAAATATGCTATAATATGCTCTTCTTTTCCACAACTCTAACCCTCTTCCAATTTAAGAATAACACACACACATACATACCTCTCACATGCCTCCACGCTATTTGTGAATACCAAAAACTTTTGCCATTTATGCTCCTTGATCAAGGCATACAAGGTCAACGGTTTCAAATTGGTTTGTGTCAGACAGAATTTCTCCGTCAGTTCAGCCGGTGTGGTGTATTTACCAATAAATTCACCACTCTTGGGTTTATTCAGTACCTGTTCGGCATACTTGTCTTGCAATTCCTTCAGATTATCCAAAACCGATGTAAACAAAATCGGCTGGAAGAGTCTTAGATTTTGTAGCTTTTCCGGATCCTGTGACAATGTGGCGGAGAATAATAATTTATGTGGCTGCCTATCATATGCCAGTTCCAATTCATTATAACACAATGGTGCCGACTGTCCGGAGAGTAATTGATCGGATGTGGCGCGTACATGGGCATCTAAATGATAAAGCCAATTTTGAAAGACAGCATCCATAATACGATCTGCCTCATCGATGATCAGGAATTTAAGATTTTTCAAGCAGAAACCCTCAGTGCCATGCAAATGTTCCACCAGACGACCAGGTGTTGTTACCACAATATCCACCTTGGAATACCACCGTCCCTTATAGTTCTCAACAAGTTTTTCTTTTTCCACCGCGAAGGGTGTGTGATTCGATAGCAGACAAACACTGAGATCCGTCTTCTCACACAATTTCTTAAATACTTTATAGACCTGTAGGGCCAATTCGGCTACGGGTAATATAACTAAGGCTCTGATTTTACGTTCGGTACGTTGGGCCAGAATTTGTACGACCGGTATGGCAAAAGCCAATGTTTTACCACTACCCGTGGGTGCTGAAACACACACATCACGTGGCCGAAATGGTGCCGGTTTTGTATGAGCATCTAAAATCCAGGGCACCACAGCTGTTTGTACAGGAAACAGGCGAGTGATTTTCATTTCCTTGAGGGCACCACGAATTTGTGGTGATAGATATGTACACTCCGCCAGGCTATCATCACTTGTATCCGATGTGGCCGCAACACTTGTTGATATGATATTCGGATGAGCCAACCATGCTGGCAACACAGCCTGAACTTCTTTTCGCCTATTGGCATTTACATCTTCCCCCAAAACCTCAAAGGCGGTTGTAGTATCGTCTGCCTCTAACTCCTCTTTATCATAACTGCCGGCATTAATAATATCCTCTTCCAATTGTGGCCCAGATTCATAACTAACTTCCTTGGGTGTCACATCATTCTCTACATTCTCTTCCTCTTCCACCTGTTTTGGTTTCTTTTTCTCCGTCTCCGAATGTTTACGTTTTCTTTTCTCGACTTTTTTCAAAAGTTTTTGCAAGATTTCATCTTCATTACTTTGCTTTTTATCCAATTCCACTTCATATCTAAACGAGAGGAAGTTAAATTATATTTTCTCATTTAATTTATTTTATTAATTTACCGATTTACTGCAAATAATTCCATTTTTATTTCCTCAACGAGCAAAACATGCAGACAAATCAAAGCGTGGTTGGTTTCACAGGGTTGTCTTCCTCTTCTTCTTCAGACATATGTTACCATATGTCATTCACAGAGTTGTGTTGTCAACCATGAAAAAGTGGAAAAACGTTACACTTGCTAGTGAATAGGGGGAGAAGACAAAAAGGCCGATAAAGAGAAACTCAAAGTAGTTTAACGAAATATTTACGAATGAGGTGGAATGGAGACTGTATGTGAGCCGCATTGTTGACAAACGCAAACACTGTCCTGCACGTGTGAGAGAGAGGGGGTTGCCATCGTTTGTTATTTTTATTGTGAGTGTTTTATTTATTTTTTTTTTAATAAAATAAAAAATATTAGTTTTGTATTATTTAATAAAAGCATATATTTTTATAAATGTGTTTTATCTGGTTAATTAATATTTATTTTAATATTAATAAAAAATCGCCAAATTTGATGAGAATTATGGCATCTCCACTGACATTAAACCAAAACAAAGACAGGGCTGCATTAATTAACAAACAGTAAGGGTACTCACTAAAAGTAATACATTATACATTAATAAACAATATTGGTCTGTTACTGTACTGCAAGAATGTGCTAAATGTTCCTATTTTGTTCGATATCAAAAGGTAAACGAGAGGTAATTAAAAATAATATAAAACTAAAGATACATAACATGAAAAGAAATAGTTTTTTTTTTGTAAATTTAAATAAAAAAACACCAAAGACATAAATTGTGTCTTGTGGTATATTTTTCCTGAGAGTAAATTTTTTCTAATAGAAACTCGAAATGTCAAATAATAGCCACTTCGAAGCTGTAATCTTCACATATATTTTTTCTGGGTATACGTTTTTTTCTAAATAGGAATTCGGAATGTCAAATAATAGCTGTCATCTTCAAATATATTTTATATAGGGGCGGATTTCAAAGTTTGAACCATAATTAAAAATCTTCTGAAAGATTTTTTTTACCCTACAAGAAGACCGATAGATTGTGCTATCGAGAGAGATGATTAATAATTTTTGATATGGTCATGCAAAAATGTCTATTATGACGGCGCTACGTTCCACATAAAAATAAAAATATTTGCCTGTTTAGGGGGAAAGCTTCCGGACAATGATGTCTCTCAAAGAGGTTATTACAATTGGCCACTTCTTTCATTGGAATTATTTGAAAGCTAAGTAGTATACGAATCTTTAAAGGACAGCCATTTGGCGCCTAAAGGTCTTCCTTGCAGTTAATGTCCAATATATATTTTTTTGTCTTGCTTATGGCATAATAACAAGAGGTAGTTTAGTGCAGTTTAGTACCAGCTGATTAAATTAATGACACAATAAATATGTAGTCCAATGGCACAATGAATAGGTAGTCCATTTAGAGCAGCTGATGTCTTGATTAACAGTCAGAGTGGGTAATTTCTACTTGAATTCGATGTGCAGTGTTGCCAACCATTTGAAATATTATATGGAAAAAATTGACAGCTAATCGAGACAAAAACAAAGTTTTTGTTTTGATACATCACCTTATTATTGCATCATGGGTAGTCCATTTAGCGCAGCTGATGACGCGATTAAAGCTACGTTTAGGCTACTAAATCCACTCGATCTCAAAAGTCAATTCCGTTGCGTATCCTGTTCACAAATCCAGTGGATTATATTTGACGTATAAGCAATGGAATTGACATTTGAGATCGAGTGGATTTCGTAAATGTAAACGTGTCTTAACTGTCAAAATGCCTAATTTCTATATGAATTCAATGTGCAATGTTGCCAACCATGTGAAATATTTTAAGGAAAAAATTGACAGATGGTCGAGACAAAAATAAAGATTTTTGTTTTGATACATTACCTTATTATTGCATCATGGTCAAAACAATAAATCAATAATGTATTGAAAATATAAAAGGAAAATTAAAATATTTTAAAATCAAACATTTCAGCGTTCAGAGAAAAATTTACATGCGTTTATGTTGTGAGAAGGTACCGCTCCATTTTTGTCAACCTTTTCGCTTTTTCAGAGAATATACCCTAGTTGGTCAACGTTTTGACAAAAGGGTCCCGACACATTTTCGACCCAGCTTTAACATAACGACGTTTTCACTTGTTTTAAATTCATTTTGACAGATGGTTTTTGTGTTGGGCGCCGTTTAGTTTATTCTTCCATTTTTTTTGTTGCAAATTACAGAATATCGAGCAAACGAAAGTCCTTTAAAGAAGTCTATTAAGAATATGTCATATTAATAAAGGCTCTTACACATGGAGTCTATAGAGACTTCTTTATGGGAGCCTACAAAGACTCTAAAGAGTTTTTTGATGTGTTTAAAATATTTTTCAAGATCAATTAATGAGGTCACCCAGCTAACGAAAGTCAGCTGTCTAATGTCAAAAATTTGGACTTTCACAATAATGGAGTTTCACAGCAAACTTGAGAGGCAGCTGATATCCAGCTGGTCTCCCTGAATCACCTTATTAATAGACCTTGGTCTTTTTATAGAGTACAAATTGCACATTGCGACATCTATTGCTGACTAGTTGCTCTTTAAATAATAATGCTAACATTGACGTTACAAATTTGTAAATCAACAAACCGAGAGAAAATCGGAGAGTGTTAATTACGCGCCAAATCAATGTATGCTGAGCAAAATATAAACATATTTGAAACCGTATTGTGGACTGAATAGAATCCGGTCAATTAACTCATAATTTCTTATAATAGTTGTAATGCAAAAAAAAAAAAAAATACTACAACAATTATAAAATAATTAACTATGAGAGATGGTGTATGTGTGTAGGAGGGTTATTTCAATACTTTCAAATTAATACAATGTTGCAGCGTTTAGACAAGTCATTACACTGGGTGGCGCAATCACTTCAGAATTATTAATTCATTCGGCGTTGCTTATTTTATTTTAGCAAAAACAAAAGTAGGTATTGTCATCACCTATGAAATTATTAATGATCGAGTGTATGGAAGAGTGATGAACTAGGCCTGAAAATCGTTTATGAAAATGACTTTCAGGTCGTTTATAAAAAATGACTGGTCAGATCTTAAAAAAGGGGATTAGTAGGGGACAGTAGCAACACGTAATGCGATGGAGAAATATCGACAAAAAACTTTTTTGCAGAAAAAAAGAAGAAAGAACAAGAAAAACGTGAGCAAATCGATATGTACAGGAGTCAGAACACCAAACCAAAGCCTTTGGTGCAGGCACATCTTCCTGTAGAGATGAAAAAGGAAAGTTGGTGACAGATACAGACATCGTGTTGAGTATCTGGAAGGAGTATTTTGAAAAGTTTCTGGTATCAAATAGTGGCGGTGAAGAAGCTACTCCAGAACCAATAGGAGATGACGATATACAATGTATACCACCTAGTCAAGATGAGCTGAAATTGGCAATAGCAAGAGTAACAAACAGCAAGAGCCGATGGGTTACCAGCTGAACTATTCAAGACTGGTGGTCAGATGTTGGTAAGGAACATGCACCAGCTGATTAGTACAATTTGGCTAGAGGAATGCATGCCCAATGGTTGGAACCTCAGTATTCTGTGTCCCGTGTCCCAATGGACAATATGTGCTAACTATAGATTAATTAGTCTTCTTACCTTGCAATTCTACCATTGACCAGTTGTTCACTCTGCGCCAAATACTGGAAAGGACCCGAGAAAAACACATCGACACATTTCACCTATTCGTCGACTATAAAGCCGCATTCAACAGCCCTATTCGTTCAGAGGTATTTAAAGCCATATCTGCGTTCGGCATTCCTGCAAAATTAATACGGCTATGCAGGATAACTTTAAGTGGCACAAGGTCAGCAGTTAAAGTCGGAAAGGACCTATCGGAGCCCTTCAATACCGAACGAGGATTCAGACAAGGTGAATAGAAATGGCACGCTCTACCAGCAAAGTAGCCCCTCTGGCTACGTCGTTGCTCTGTACACCAAAAAACACGTTTTACTCGCCTACGCCGATGACATCGATATAATTGGTCGAACATTGCGAGCGGTAACAGCCACCTTTGAACAAATTGAGAAGTATTTTCCAAAGTGGGTCTGGCAGTAAACGGCGAGAAGACCAAGCTGATGGTGTGAACGCGCAAGACGTCCAGTAGACTCGGACCAACTGCGCAACATGAGAACTACAGCTTCGATGTAGTTAAAGATTTTATATACTTTGGTACCGCCATAAATAAAACGGATGACATCAGTTTTGAAATTCGGAAAAGGAAAAAAAAATCAAGGCCGCCTCCCGCCAGACCAAACTCACACTTTACAAGACGCTGGTACTTGTGCAAGCAGATGAGGCTGCTCTTGGGCCTCAAAAGATCTACGGGCCGATCTGCATCGGCGGTGAATATCGTCGTCGAATGAACCACGAGCTTAACAATTTATACGCGGACATCTACATAGTCAGTCGTATCGAACGGCAGCGACTACGGTGGCTAGGCCATGTTGTGCGAATGAATGAAAATGCCCCAGCTCAAATGGCATATAAAAACGAGTCTACTGATGGTACACGCAGAGGGGAAAGGCCACGAATTAGATGGAAAGTCCAAGTAGAAAACAACATCTCGGAACATGATCTTGCAAATTGGAGGAGATGCGCACAAGACCGACGCGCTTGGAAATCTTTTTTTAAGCTCGTCTTATGGAACAACCGTTCTGTAACAAGCCAGCTAAGTAAGTAAGTAAATTTGTACATAACTCAGATGCTATGCGGCCATGAATACCATTGAAGAAGAGGAAGATGACACTGAATACACTGTTCTAAGCTTCAATCACTGGATCGAAAGCCGAGATAGAAAACGTAACTGCGAAGTTGGTGGCAAACGAAAGATACAATCACCAAATATGTAGAGATCATTTTGAGAAAAATCAAATAGCTCGATCTCGACGCGATGCTTTAAAAGCATAAAGTGTTGTCTGAACGCCGCTAAAATCATGAGATATGGTATTCCATCTTATAGGAGGGTTCGCCTCGAATTACAGCGACTTAAAGTTGTTTTTCCTATACGAAATTCTATAAAGAAGACTTTTCCGTCGCATAAAAAAATCAAGTTTTGGTCATCTGAAAATGTGACTTTACGAGGGGCCAGTTCGGAAAGTGCTTATGCTAGCACAAAAAGCGCGGTATAAAGGAAAGAGAAAAGTTTAATCACACATTTCTAATTTTTCCTTTGTAAAAAATTGCGGATGCTTCTTTTTTGAATACCTGATTCTTCAATATGAAGGAGTTGCCAGATCGAAACAAAATTTAACATGTGTTCATAACAGACATGGAAGCTTCCATGAACACATAACTTTTTTCTGTCTATATCGCGCTTTTTGTACACGGCTAAGAATTTTCCGAACTACCCTCGCATAGACGAATATCAAAATACGACTTTAAGCCCTTTAGAAATACTCTCATCTAGGCAACTATATCCATCAGTTCTTAGCTGTTTGCTCTATGTGTGTGTGTTAGCTTTATTCTTAACATTTATTTATCCGAATTGTTTTTTTTTGGCTTTTTGCGATCATTTAATACAAAAACTTAAGCCAGTTCTCCGTCCCGTCTGAGAGATTAAGCCATTCGCTAAACAAAAACCCACTCTCCGATTGGATTTCTTGTCATTGTGTTAGTAATGCTATTGTCGGAATGCTAAAAAAAAACTTTACCGCTCAGCTGTTCTTGTGGCGTTGGTATTTGTTGTCTTACCAATATAGTTGACGGTTTTTTGTTTTCGGGTTTTAACCAGATTCGTTGTTCTAAGTTAGTTGGTTAGCTCGCTCGCTCGTTGGTTGGTTGGTTCGTTTGTCATGCTGCCTACTAAACTAAACTCTCGCCGAGGATATAAAAGCGTACACCGAATATTTGCCAACATTCTGTCTGATCGCGAGTGTGAAATTCTATTCACGAACACGAAAATATTGAAAACGGTCGCGCGCGTTTTGCTGGTGGCGTCGTTGAATGTAGTCGCACTCCAAAAAATAAGAAAAAAATATTTAAATATTAAATTGTGAACGCAAAGCTTTTTTTTGTTAAAGTAAAATTAAATAAATTTCAATATTGAGAAATAAGAAAAAAAGTTGGCGTTTTTAGTTAATATATACATAGAAATAAAAAAAGGATATAAAATAAAAATGTATATCAAAAATTTCATACGAATAAATTTCGTAGTTCAATTGTGTGTGATTTTAAATAATTTGCAAACAGTGTAAGTTAAAAAATAAATATTTTAATAAATAAATAAAAAGTATTTCTTAAAAAAAAAAACAAATTTGAAATAAGTTAAACTTGGAATATGTTTTTAATTTTAAAAAATATTAAACAAAAAAATTATGTAATTAAAAATATGAAATCGATTTATGAATTTTTGGAATTTATTGACAAATTGAAAATAGTGAAGTTTTCAAAATAATTCAGATTTTTTATGAAATTTACAATATTAGATGTTATAAATAAAAAGAGTATATTATATCGTGAAATATTGGATTTTATATTCGCTAAAATTAAAAAGATATCCAAACAAAAGTATCAAAAAAAAGGATTTTAAAATAGAAAATTAAAAAAAATCTCTGCTTTTGATTTTATTTTTTCTAATTATTTTAGTATATCGAAACTATTAGAAAATAAAAATTATTGGGAAAAATAATAGTATAGTCGGACGGGGCCGACCATACGATACCCTACACAACTACCACGGAACTCAAATTTTCTGCGGATGTTTATTCCGAGCCTGGGCAGTATTTCGTGATATTGACATCCTCTTGCCCGATTAGAGGTAAACAGCACCTCTTCCTCACACTGACATATTTTCCGAATATTACGAGTATTCTGTACAGCTATTGTCCAGATTCCCTTCACCGTGAGTTGTGTTGATGTGATGTTCGGCTTTCATTTGTGGTCTATATATCGACTTGCAAATAACACAAAAAATTAAGTTTTCAGTCCACTTCATTCCAAAATTATTATCTGAGTATCACCGAAAATTATAGGCATTGTCCTTTAACTAGTTAACCTTATGGAACATTTCAAAGCGATCAGCGCTATAGTTCCGCGCTCTAGAGTGATAATGGATTACTAAATAATATACGGATACGGAGATACCTGTAAATATTTAGATGTAACTCCCACTTTCGAGCACATACAACAATATAATTGGTATTAATTTAAAGGTAAACCACTCCTCTTGGATATAATATCAACTTCTCGGGTCTATGTCATTCAGGGGTAAATATATACGCTATAGAATACAAATTTTGTAATTTTTCACACAAAAGTCAGGGTCCATTTGACCCGCTAAATATTGACCGATCTTTATCAAAACAGGCATGCTTATTCTTAGGCCCGATCCCCTTCTCCATGTAAAATTTCACGATGTTCGGACCATAACTGCGGCCTATGGAGCGGCCGAAAAAACCTACAAAAATTTAGTATTTGGTCCATTTCATCCCCTAAATATTAACCGATCTTTACCAAAAACAATAGGGGTCTTCATTGGCCAGAACCCATCCTACATGCAAAATTTCGTGAAGATTGGTACATAACTGTGGCCTGTATCGTGTTTACAAATTATAATGGACAGACGGACGGACGGACACACATGTCTAGATCGATTCAGCTAGTCGAGATATGACGATCGGTATACTTAAAGGTGGGTCTGGGACCAATATTTCGCGGCGTTACAAACTTTTGGGGCTGCACAAAGCTATAATACCCTGACAACATAGTTGTGTAGGGTATAAATAATAGAAAAAAAGAAATATATGTTAAAAACTCTTTGGTTTTAAATTTTTGATTTTGAAAAAAATATTTAAAGTGAAAAAAAATTATTTTAAAATTGTATTAAATTTAAGGTAGAAAAAGTGAATTTTAAATTAAATTATTTAGATATTCCATATTCGCTGCCAATTAATTATTAAATCAGTGTTGCGGAAAAATGAATAATGAAGATATTTTGTTTGCAGACCACCCTAATATTACAAACATCCACAGTTAGTTTATATAGGAACAGAAATCGGCCATTGTAAATGTCTGCAAAAGTTACACAATTCTTTTGAAAACTCTTCATGTAATCCGAGGCCGATTCTCATGGCCTTTCCATTATTATTTCCATTTTTTGTGTGGATTTGGCCACAAAGAAAAAACAATGGTTGTGTAGGGCAATGCCTGCATATTTTGGATGCAGCAATAATGAAGTTCGTCTCGTTCCAAAAAAAAGGTGCCAGATACTTAAATTTATTTTTTTTAGAAAAAATAATAATTAAAAAATATTTATAATAAATTAAACCAGTGAGCGGAGGAGTATAGTCGGACGTGGCCGATCAACCCACACACACACACACACACACACACACACACACACACACACACACACACACACACACACACACACACACACACACACACACACACACACACACACACACACACACACACACACACACACACACACACACACACACACACACACACACACACACACACACACACACACACACACACACACACACACACACACACACACACACACACACACACACACACACACACACACACACACACACACACACACACACACACACACACACACACACACACACACACACACACACACACACACACACACACACACACACACACACACACACACACACACACACACACACACACACACACACACACACACACACACACACACACACACACACACACACACACACACACACACACACACACACACACACAACACACACACACACACACACACACACACACACACACACACACACACACACACACACACACACACACACACACACACACACACACACACACACACACACACACACACACCATATGATACCCTACACAACTTCCACGAAAATCTATCTTTGCTTTATTTGCACCCTCTTGAAACCCGACTAAAGGTCAACAAATATTACTAACTAGCAAAGTGCCCGCTACTTCGTATGCGGAAAGGGAATACAAAAAATATTTCATATGGTATCGTAAATACTATAAATTTGTTGTACTATAGTTTGTGATTTAGTACTCTTCTTCTACACTATTTTCCGAAATCTCTCTTACTTCCATTAAACAGATTAAAACCAGTAAGGAAAGTAGTAAAGTACCCCATGCAAAAGGGACTTTGGTACACCATTTACATTAAATCGGACGAAGTTATATATGGTAGCTATAGCTAAATCGGAACCGATTTTCACGATGTTTAACACACATCGTTCTACACGTAATTCAGCCCGCTGTGCCTAATTTTATGTAAATCGAAGCACTATTTACCTAAAATCGGACTAAAATATATATGGGAACTATATCTAAGTGTGAACAGATTTTTCCCAATTTCAATAGGGTTCGTCCTTGGGCCAAATATGCGACGTATGCCAAATTTCATCCAATTCGGATCATAAATGCGACCTGTACTTTGTTTACAATGCATAAATCGACATAGAATGTGATTCTATGCATATTATGTGATTCCGTTGCCGAAATCGAAATTTAGTACATTTGCTATTCTATTTACTATTCGTACAAATCAATTCGAGTTTCCATAGTTATCTCTATAGCTAAATACTGCACTTCAACAGTAATCTAAATTCCAAATCCAAATGGTTCCAAATATAGTACCATTATACTTATAAGTAAGAATTTCTAAAACTACATCAATCTTACTCTCCAACAGTAATCTTAATTCCGCCAAAGTTCAAATTTAGTACTTTTCGTACTCATAAGTACGAATTTCCAAATATACCTCGATCCTTTTTTCAAATAGTAATCGTAAGTCAAAATTTAAGAATTCCATCTCTGTCTGTTCATCAAAAACCAAATTGTACCAGATTTTGTACCATTCTGTACTTTTCGTACCCATATGCCCAACTTTATCAAATTTACACTCCCACAGTAACCTATGTTGCAACTTTCGGGATTCGAATTCTACCCGTTCACCAATGTCCAATTTGTACCAAATTTTGTGCTTTTCGTTCATGTCATGTTCTCCAATAATAACCTTTAGTACACACTTAATTATTCCAGTTCTATCCGTTCACCACACTCCAAACGTAATTTTAATCATAAATTTCAGGATCACAGCCCTATCCGTTCACATAAATCCAAATTGTAGCATATTTAGTACCATTTAGTACTTTTCGTACTTTAAGTTTGAATTTTCAACACTGTCTCAATCCTGTACTCTAACAGTAATTTTATTTTCAAATATAAGTTTTTTATCTCAATCTAAATAAACTTAGAACCATTTAGTACACATAATCATTCAAATTTAGTACTTTTTGTTTCTATAATTAAACTACGTCAATCCACTACACTTCAAAAGTAATTTTAATTCCAAAATTCTGGAGTCCAACTCTATCCAATTAATCAAGTATTACCAAATATAGTACCATTAAGTACACATAGGTATTATGCTTCCATATCATAATTCTATATTCTAAAAGCAACCATTATTCCAAATTTTAGGTTTTCAACTCTCTCCGTTCACCCAAATCCAAATTGTACCATATCTAGTGCCGTTTAGTACTTTTCGTACACACAAATACGATTTTGTACTTTTCGTACCAATATGTGTGAATTTCCAAAACTAGCTCAATTCTACACTGCAACTGTCATTTTAATTCCCATTGTCAAGACTCCAGCTCTATATGTGAACCGAAATCCAACTTTCACCAAATATAGTACCATTAAGTACTTTTCGTATACAAAGGCACGATTTTTTAAAGCTACCTCAATCCTGTATTCCAACAGTAGTCCTAATTCCGATTTTCAGGATTCCATCTATATACACTCAACTAAATGCAAATAGTACCAAATTTAGTACCATTTAGTACTTTAAAAAAAAAAAACATAAGTACGAAAATCTTAAACCATTTCTATACATCAACACCACTTCCCAACCTGTATTCTATATAAAATTTCAAGATTTTAGCTATATATGTTCAATATATGTGGAAGTATAACTAACTTTAGTACTTTTAGTACATTTATAGGTCGAATTTCCAAAAACCCTTTTCTACATCTTTCTAACTTTCCATCAGTGACCCACATTCCAAATTTCAGAATTTTATATCTTCCCGTTCGCCTAATACAAAGTGTACCATATTTTGTACATTTTAGTACTTTTCGTACCCTTCTAGTACGAATCTCCAAAAACCCAGCCTTATCTCACGCCTACACACCAACAAC